AAGAGATTCTGTATCAGCAGCTGGAGAACTGCAGTGTTCTTGATCCAAGAACCGAACCAGGTGTATTCCACGATGAAGGCTGTGCATGGACCTCCAGCATCTCAGAACCCACCAGAAGTCATTTAAACATTAAAACCAGATATGAGGTGCACTGTGAGACTGCCTCACTTCAGGAGAATAGACCTCAGGACTGTGAGGAGGAAGTCCATCATGTGGTTTTTCCATCAGCACTGGAGGAGACCGGTGATCCTGAAGAACATTTAGAGACAGGAAAGTCTTTACCCAAGAACTCTTACAGACAGGACGCTGAACTTGTTTTAGATTCACACCTTGAATGTGGACATGATTGCTTTGAACGTTTGGATGAAGAGAACCAAGAGTCCATCATCCTAAAGCTTCAGTCTGTGTGTTCCACTGCCACAGAGGAGAACCTTCTCCTTCATCAGAAGATCTCTTTGCTTCAGCAGAAAACAGAACTACTGGAGAAGCTGCTGGCACACCGGAACCAGCAGCTTGAAACCAGCCGTCAAGCTTTGGAGGAGAACTACAACCTGAAAGTTCAGATGCTTGTTTTATTGGACCACGTCAACGAGGTGGAGAGGAACAGCTTCAAACTGACAGATCTTCAGTTCAGATTTGACGACTGCATGTGTGAAAATGCCAATCTAAAGGACCAAATCAGCCTGCTGAAGAAGAAGCTGTTTGATGTTTCCCACCACTTCCAGGATGGGCGGGTCTCACCTGTGGATGAGATCAGAGCAGGAAACTCTCAGCTGTTCCAGCTGTGGAGCCAGTTTCCAGGCTCAGACCTGAAACGAGCAGGGAGCCCCTCAGACGAGGCGTTTCTGCACCAGGCACAGGTCTGCTGCGAGGAGTTTGAAGAGCAGAACACCAAACTGCGCAGAGCTATCGCAGAGCTGAAGGACCAGTCAGAGGCTTTAAACAGAACAACTCTGGCTCGGAGGTAAACTAGAACCTGCAGAGGCCTCTGCCTACCCCCTCATGGCTGTAGTGGTTTGGTGTTAGAAACACTCCTTGTGTTCCCCATGTAAGGCTTTTGTTGATGTTCCTGTTTGTGTGTCTGTTCTCAGCCAAAGGTCATAGCTGCTTTGATCCTTTTATATTACCATGTTGGTCAGGTCTAATCGACGTATGAGCCACTATCTCACTGTTGGAAACTACTTGGTGACTCAAAACCTAAGGACTGATCTACTAAGATCCCAAATAATGAGGTCTAAATTACATGGGCAAACTAAAAAATATAATGTTTGATATGATAGATATGGTGATCTACTAAGATTGCTGTACAAATGATGTGTAGACCATAGATTCTTAACTGGGCCGCGAGCGCCACCTTGAGGGCCTCAAAAGAACAACAGTTTTTAACTTTGGGCCGCCGAGGGCCGTGGGACCTTATTGATTTTGAATAAGGCGCAATACACTTTCTCACCACTAGTAGTGGTAGTGCACCACTCAGATGTTTAACAACTTTTTTAATATGTAGAAGAACCTTAGAAACCTGCCAAAAATGGAAACCTACTTTAAATTAAAAGTAGAACCAAAAATGAAAGTAACCCATCAAAAAACACCAAAGTTTGTCACTAATATGAAGAGCAGCTTCTGGTTCTGTCATGCAGTATTTTAAAAGTTCAAAACATGATCAAATACAGATGCAGATACAACTATATTTTAATTTGCACTCTTTAAAATACATTAAAATATTAAAAAATAAACTACAAATAATAATTTTTATAAAGAAACTTTAAACATGTCAAAAAGCTGTTACTGTTATTGTTAGTCACTAATATGAAGAGCAGCTTCTGGTTGCGAAAGTTTAAAAGGCTTTATTTTCACTTGTACTTTATCAAATTTATTTTTAGTTTTTTTGTATTTGAAACATTTAAACATTTTTAATTTAATTATTTTATGCCCACAATTTTATTTGTTGAATTGTCTATTTTTGTTATTGTTTGTTAATTTAGTTATAATGTAAATACAATGAAAATTAAACCAAAATATAGAATAATTATTTTAAACCAAGATTTAGAATAATAATCATTTTGGTCCATACATTGGTAATTTCTGACTGGGCCTCGTGCCACTTTATGTTCAACAAATTGGGTCCCGAGGTCAAAAAGGTTAAGAAGCCCTGGTGTAGACTGCTCTATTGAAATGAGAATTTTACACGTTCTACTGGCTGTTACCATGGAGAGTTTGGAGAGCAGAGTAGCCGTAAAACAAATATGTAGTTCGAAGCCATGGAGTTGGAGGTCTTGGTGTATGAGGCAAATAATTCAGATGCAATAAAATGCAGGGTTGTAAGAAGCTATTCCATAGAAAATATGGCATGGCTTCTATTTGTGACTGGCTCCAAATCAGCCTTCCGGTCCTATAACAGCTCAAAAATGTCTTTTTATTTCTGACAGTCCAAAAATGTTGACGCACACAACATTCTGTTTCATCATTGTCTGTAGTGTTGTAGTCAAGACCACCTAACCTGAGACCAAGTCAAGAACAAGACCACATTAGCTGCATTTCCATTGCAAATGTGCGCAAAACTTTGTCGATATTCTGTTAATGTTGAAAAAACACAGTTTCGCAACTGTGGTGTTTCCATTAAGAAATGCTATTAAAGTCACGCGTGAATACGTTTGTTCTCGTGATAAGTCATTACAAACATGGTGGTGATGGATGTAAACACATAGCATGTTGCTACCACGACACTAGCGCTCATCATCAGAGGAGACGTCGGCGTCTTTTATCGAGGCTTTCCAGAGACAAGTCCCTACTTGGGAGCGGCTACGTATGCTGTGTTTTTGGGAAACTGTAGTCTGTGAGTTTACTATTTTATACTACTTCTGTGATATTACTACTATTTCTACTTCCTGTTATCTTCTTCGTCATCGTCTTTTTTGCCAGTAGAAACAGCCGGTTGTTGATCACGTGACTCCCGTGATGCGAAAAAAGTGTTTCCATTGCAATTTTGCGAAAAACACCGAATGGATCGCCAAAATACCACCTCATCCTAGCGCAACAACATTTTGTTGAAAAACGTAATGACGTGTTTCCATTGAGCAAATTTATTTTTGAAATTCTCATTTGCGCATTTTCATGGTCAATGGAAACGCAGCTATTGTCTCAAGACTGAAACAAGATCAAGACTTTTTAGGTCCAGGACCAAGTCGAGACCAAGACCAGAAAAAAAACCCATAATAACAAAAAAATCTAGTGCCCTAAAATAGAGTATTCTGTACTCATGTAGCTAACTTAATATATAGAGCTAATATTAAAATCTTTGTGTGAGGGCAGAGAAAAGAATTTTACTACAGAGGCAGATTGCTACAACTGTCGCCGAGCAGCTGAATAAGGGAAATTAACATTGAAACACCCATTGTTAAAAAAAACAACAACACAAATCCAAGTTGCAATTAAAGTTTCTTTATTGGCATCAATCTTTCAAGATCCAAGGCAAAACAGACGTCCATATTCCAGAGCAGTAAAAAAAATAGATCCAGAATTTCAAGCAGTGATCAAAGACTAAAATATTCACTGAAGCTAAAATTTTCAAAACTTAAAGCTGTCAGCAAAAATCAGACTTCCCCCATCACCCACTGAAAACCAATAACTGTGGGCAAACAAGTGATCTTACAATTACTAGCAACACTACGTGATTCCAATCTCTATGGGATAAATCTTGTGCCAGCAGGAAATGAATTAGAATTTCTCAGATTGAATCTGAATGTGCATAATTTGAAATTGAATGCATTGGTTTGAAAATGAATTTTACTAAATTGAAACTGAATTTAAAGTTTTGTATCTGAATTAATTTGCTTTGAAACTGTATTTTGGTTTATTAAAAATTCAGTTTGACTACCGCAATAAAATAACCTTGTTTTTGTCACTTTTACAGTGGATTGCATCAACTCTGTTACATACAGAAGGGAAACTTCACCAAAGTGAAACATAAATCCGTGGATCTGTGTTTGATTATTACTCTGGCTGGCTTTCTCAAGGACCAGGATGTGACACAAAAATCTGAATTTCAGAACTGAAAGTGAAAGTAGACAAACTGAGTTTTTAATAAACCAAAATGCAGTTTGAAAGCAAATTAATTCAGATAAAAATACTTTAAATTCAGTTTCAGTTTAGTAAAATTCATTTTCAAACCAATGCATTCAATTTCAAATTCTGCACATTCAGATTC